CAGCCTCTGGCGGCGATGAGACAGAGCGGCGCCTCCCAGCCCCTGCTGATCAACATGTACCTGCCAGGTACCAGGGACCAGCCGGGGGCTGGAGGCACCGGGACCCGGGGCTGGAAGTCTGGTCTGGGCCACGGGAAAGGGATTGCTGGGGTCCAAGGGAAGGGGCGCGGTCCAGAGACTCGGATTGCTGGAAGGACTGAGCAATCTAGGGCACTGGAGGACGCGAAAGGCAGATGGAGAGCTTTGGGGCTTTCGCAGGAGGTCTAGAAGACTCGAAGTGAGCACATCGGGAGACTGGGAGGTCGAAGGCGCCAGCTCAGGGGCTGAAAGAGCCTGGAGGGGGAACAGGGGTCTTCGGGGTGGCGGGGGACTCAGTGCGCGTGCAGTGCTGGGAGGCCGCGGCCCGCCGGGCGCCGCCCCTGCACCCTCGTGGCTCCTCACCTCCGTGCTCCGAGGGTTCTCGCCGCCCAGCCTTCCAGGCGCCCTCCGCTCCTCTCCTCTCCCACGGGCTCCGCGCTCCGGCTCCGCTGGCGCAGTCCCGGCTCGGCTTTATAAGGCTCGCGTTCGGAAAGCGGATTTCCTTTTTCCTGGACGCGTTTCCTGACTCGGGCGTTATGGAGGGGCTCCGCGCCGCGCGCGCCCCGGCCAGGCTCCCGGAGGAGGAGCCCGGCAGCTCGGGCCCCCCGCCTCACGCCGGGAATCACGGCGCCCCTTCTCGAGCCTTGGCCCCAGGGCCCTTTGGGTCAAGCCCACGACGTCCTCCTGACTGTCCACCTCTTTTCTTCTGCTGCCACAGACCCGGTTGGAGAAGGTCTCTTCAAGGAAGGGAAGAGCCCGGGCTGGGGGCCGCTGAGTCCTGCGGTACAAAAAGGTGAGCTGGCTGGTGGACTGGGTAGGCGGGAGTGAGGACGGCAGACAGGAGCCGGGCATCCACCCAGGAAGGACGGGGCCTGCCCCTTCCAGGAGGAGGATGGGGGTCATGTGCGCCGCAGGGCTCTAGGAAGCCGAGGGTCCAGGCATAATTGTGGGGAGGGTGCGGTGCCATTCACTTGGCCTTTGGCTCCTGCATCTTCCGAGTTCCCGGGCTGGACTTCTAAGCCAGGGCCAAGGGAGAGGGCCCTGGCCCCCACTCACTCTTTTGCGGACAGGGTTGGGGTGCTTGGCGTTCTTTCCCTGCTAGCAATGGGAGCACAAGGCCCCAGCACCGCTAGGCAAAAGGGACCCAAAGATTTGCTCCCTGGCCACTGGCACCACTAGCCCTGGGGCCAACACCTACCTGTCTCACTGACCCAGGGCCAGGTTTTTCCTGCCAAGTCCACTGGGTCATTGCAGTTGATTCCTATGTCGGAAACTAGCTTTCCTCGGGTGGCTACATTACCCTCTGCTTTGCCTCGTTGCTGGCAGGGCCTGACTGGCCTTCCAGGCAAAGCCTCCTTACAGCCCCCGCCCAGTGGGTACCCTAAATCTCATGGTTACAGTAATCATAAAAACAAGATTGGCAACAGCTTTATTCCAAAGGGAACAGGACTCCCATCAGAAATGCGTTTCCAGGCCTCTGATGTCGCTCTGCATATGTGCCAGCTGCACATTTTTACCCAAACCCTCCTTTGCTTCTGACCCTAAAACTCAAGGCTTCCTACCTGGAGCCAGACAGCTCCTTGCTGGCCTCTTACGGAGAGATTGGGGTTGACGTTATGGAGAGCAGCATCTGGCCTCTGAGCGAGTCATTGAAAAACAAAGAGGGTTCCCCAGGCTCGATGAGAAGCGATAATCAGGCTTCAAGGAAAATTTATTTTATTCTAAAAGGGGGGGGGGGGATTGTATCAAGATTTTTCTCCGCTTGTCTGATTGAGACTCCAAAACAGGGGAGTGGGAGCTCTGGGCATCTCACACTCTCATTACATGGATATCGGGGAAAACCTCCTTGCTGCTTCCAACAACCCCAGAATCGGGAAGGGGCAGAAGAGCCTGGAGATGAGCCAAAGGTGGGAGAAGGCAGGGGGCTAAGTACAACAGTTTCACCGTCTCAGCCCCTCTCCTCCAAGCTGTGCATCTCCTTGGGAAGGATGACAACTTTGCAAGCTGGAATCCCGCCTGTTCCGAAAAAGAGCCTGAGCCTATTTAGCCCCAGTGCAGCTTTGCCCACCAGGCGGTGTGGGGAGTGGAGCGCCTTCAGAGGCTGCCCCCCTCTCACACACAGGGAGCCACTGTCCCCATTCCTGTCTGATGGCATAGAAGCCAGCCACCACCTACTCCCCCCCCCCCAGGGCGGAGTCCAGCTGTAGCCTTTAGGAGCTGGGCCCTGTCCAGTGGCCCCGGGGGTCCTGCTGTGCACCTGCCTCTTCTCTCTGGATCTCTGGATGTGGTTCAGCTGGGAGGTGGCAGTCTAAATGCCTGGCAGGCTACCCCCAGTTGTGCAGGCTCTGCCCTGAATTAGGATGAGCCCCAGGTGGCCATAGGGGCTGATATCCTGTCCTTGCTCACCTCAGGGAGCCCAGGGTCCTGCCCCGCTGCTGCCTCCATGCAGAGGAGGTGATGCTTCGCCCTCTGGTCTCAGTTCTCACAAAGCCACGCGCCCGCGGGGCTGCGTCCTCCGAAGCGGGAGCCGTGTATCCATTGTGGAAAATCGCAGGAACAGCTAGGGCAGCTTTACTGATCAGCCTCCCCTGGGCAGCCGCTCCAGCTGCGCCCTGCTACCCAGCTGGACATGTCCTTTCCCTCCCGAGCACCGGTTCCCTCGGGCCGGGTTGGTCTCCCGTCTCGTCTCGCCCCTTTCCCCACTTCAGCCTCCCCACCTCGCCCATGGCTGACTAGCCCCCTCCCCACAGGCAGTGGGCAGATCCAGCTGTGGCAGTTTCTGCTAGAGCTGCTAGCGGATCGCGCCAACGCCGGTTGCATCGCGTGGGAGGGTGGCCACGGCGAGTTCAAGCTCACGGACCCGGACGAGGTGGCGCGGCGCTGGGGCGAGCGCAAGAGCAAGCCCAACATGAACTACGACAAGCTGAGCCGCGCGCTGCGCTACTACTACGACAAGAACATCATGAGCAAGGTGCACGGCAAGCGCTACGCCTACCGCTTCGACTTCCAGGGCCTGGCGCAGGCCTGCCA